GGGCAGAGACCAGAATTTCACATGCCCATACTGCCTCCCATTGCCGTGCGAGGGCTGAATGCAGCGTCACGTGCTCCTTTCCGTCCTTCGTAACACTTTACTGTCCGTCCCACTCTAGAAGCTGTCCACCATTTATCAATGGTTATACTTGCACGTGACTATGATTTTATACTGAGAACTGTGGCTTTGACTGACAAGGCGGTTCCGCCCCAAAATTTTCGCTGCTGTTCAGTTCTGGAATACCTATTACCAATCGTTTCGCATAAGAAGTATTTCTTCACGGTCCCATTCTTCTCTTTTCTCCCACAAGCTCCTACTTTTTTTCAAGCCCACCCACCATCCTCTGCGTCGAGACTGCGTCACTTTGCATTGCTCGGAGCCTTGCGCTCTCAGTGCACAAAGGCAGAGTGCAAAGATGCCGGCGAGCATTGGGAAGTCCAAGTCGTCCGCACCAGGCATCAAAAAGGTCAAGTGAGTTGATCTCATTGGATCCAAGCTGATGGTTGCACATCACCCGGATCGCTGTTGCTGATTCTGCTTTACCTGTCGTCTTTACTCAAGGGGAGAAAACTTCTATCGCGATGCCAAGGGAGCAAAGCGGGTCAAGCTTCTAGCCAAGAATGGCATTGCTTCCAAGGCCATCCGTGACAAGGATGGGAATATCATCCAGGCCGCCGAGTTCCAAAGTTCCGAAGCGAAACCGGGTCGAGTACAGCCAGATCGAAGATGGTTTGGCAACACGCGCGTTATCAGTCAGGATGCCCTTGCACACTTCCGCGAGAGCATGTCTTCGCGTGTCGACGACCCATACTCGGTCTTACTTCGCCGCAACAAACTCCCTATGAGTCTTATCCAGGAGCCCTCTTCCAAATCGTCCCCGGCCGGCATTGGGAGCAACAAGCTAACCGCCGTCGAATCTTTCTCTGACACTTTTGGTCCTTCGGCCCGAAGAAAGCGTCCGCGTCTGGATCCTACGGCAATTGGGTCCTTTGAAGAATTTGCTCAGTCTGGCACAACGGCGATTGATGACGCCGAAACTGCCGCAGAAGCTGCCCAAGCCAAAGCCCGAGGCGTCGGTCTAGTGCCAGAGGACGCCGAGATAGGTGCGGTGCAAGCGGAAGTCCCCTACGAAATTCCCGTACAGCGAGGACGCTCGGAGCCAATATATTCGAAAGGTCAATCGCGCAGGATCTGGGGCGAACTATACAAGGTTATTGACTCATCAGACGTCGTCATTCACGTCCTCGATGTACGCGACCCTGAGGGGACACGATGTCGCAGCGTTGAGAAGCACATCAAGGAAGAAAAACCGCATAAGCATCTAGTCTTTGTTCTCAACAAGGTCGACTTGGTGCCTACTTGGGTTACGGTGAGTGCTTGTCCCGGTTCACAATTCTCGCGTGTTTTCTTGTTAGAGTCCCACAATCAAGTCAAGCTCCGCTGCCTGTTTTTCTCCGTGGCGCGGCCGCTGTTACGATTGTGGAAGAGGAATGGCAAGGGTTGGACGGCCTCTTTGTCGGTTGCTAGCGCAGTCGACCCGCAGAGTCAGCTCTTCTCCCGCCATTGAAGGGCACTTTGTGTGGAGGTTTGGCCGCTCTTGACAACTTTCTGGATGAGTTGAGCCTGTCGCTTGCAGCCTGTCTGCTATACCCTTTGGGCATCGACAGGTTCGTAGTTCTGGAATGGACAATGCAGTTATCTCGGATTTGTTTTTTTTGCCTTGTTTGGCCCGCGGGAAACTGACACAGGCGTACACTGTTAATGCTTTTAGGCTCGATGGGTCAAGATTTTGTCTCAAACCGCCCCTACACTGGCTTTCCACGCCAGCGTCAACAACTCATTCGGAAAAGGCAGCCTCATTTCCTTACTTCGCCAGTATAGTGTGCTGCACTCCGACAAGAAGCAGATCAGTGTCGGCTTCGTCGGATACCCGAACACGGGCAAATCCAGCATTATTAACACGCTTAAGAAGAAGAAGGTATGCAAAACAGCACCAATTCCCGGCGAGACCAAAGTTTGGCAATACATTGCTCTTATGCGACGGATCTATCTCATCGACTGTCCGGGCATTGTTCCTATATCCGCCCATGACTCGGAGACGGGCACAGTGCTTAAAGGTGTTGTCCGTGTCGAGAATCTCGAGACCCCAGCGGAGCATATACCCGCCTTGCTAGGTCGCATCAAGGCGGAGCACCTGCAAAAGACGTATGGTCTGAACAAGTGGATGGACGCGGATGACTTTCTGTCGCAACTGGCCAAAAAGATGGGCAAATTGCTCAGAGGTGGCGAGCCTGACATGGAGACCGCAGCCAAATGCGTTCTCAACGATTGGATTCGAGGGAAGCTGCCTTTCTTCGTAGCACCGCCGACGGCCGAGTCGAACGCCACGGGTAAGGAGAAGTGGGCTGGTGCCGTCAAAGGCGTCACGCAACCGCTGCGTGGCATCAACCCTGTCCACCGCGAGGCCAAAGGAGCCACCGAGGGTGATCAGAGGAGTGCTCTCGGTGTTGACAAAGATGAAGCCACCGAGGTAGTGTCCACGGAGGAATTTGACGACGAGGATATCCAAGCAGAGGAGGATGAAGACGACAAGGATATCCAAGAAGAGGAGGATGAAGACGACGACGACGACGGCTCAGATGCTTCGGCCGACAGCCTTGAGCAATTAGGGTGGGATGACGTCTTTGGCGGTGCAGAAGCAGAAGAGGATGAATCCTTCACCGATGAAGAGGGCGAAGAGTCTGAGCACGGCGATCACAGCAAGGCAGAGGACAAAGCCCGTGCAGAGCAATTGTCAGAAGATGATGAGCAGGCGAGAGGGAAAAATGCGAAAGCACCGCGGATGGCCACATCGAAGCGCAAGGCTGAGAACTTCTACACGCATGCCAACGTCAAAAACAAGAACCGGAACAAGGCAAAGCTCAGTGCGAGCATCGCTGCTCAAAATCGCAATTCGCGCGGCTCGCGAATCGGTGCCAATGGCAAAGCCGCACGCACAGCGAAGAAGAGCAAACATCGCAGCTAGATCGTCACATGCATTTGTTGTATTATATCTAGCATATCGCAATGGCCCTGACCATCGCGTTCTCATTACAGTGTGAGCACAGTGCCCAGTGCTTCACAGCTCGACATCATCATCCGGATCATCCTCGTCCGGATCATCGTCGCTCTCGGGCTGGAAGATCACTCGGCCAGGGGCTTGGGCAAGCTGAGCGTGAGGCAACGCAACACCTTCTCTGCGTGCCCGCTGATCGCCGGTTTCATTGAGGTTGAAAGGTAGCTTAAAAAGCATGCCGGCATGCGTTGTATCTGAAGAAAACTGGTCAGACAGTCTCGGTCCTGCGCTTTGTGCTTTCCCTTTTTGGTGCTCGCCCTCTCCGTATTTAGCGCCAGATGCTGCCGGGACTGCTGATGCGTCACCTGCAGTATGTGGCAAAATGGGCAGCAGATGCAGCCGACCGTCATGAATGCGATAGTGCAACACCTCCTGAGCGAATTTGCCACTCCTTTGCCGCTGCCTTGCATAAATGCAAGCCTGATATGCCGCTTGCTGATGCTCGCTCGCGCGTCTGGCAGCGTTCGCCCTTTGTGTGCCAGGGAAGCTGGATGCCTGGTGGCTCAGATAGTCTGAGCTGGAGAGAGCTTCCAGCGGCGGCCGGTCGTCCCGCTGATGCGCATTCCACCAACCTACGTTGGATGTGCCAGATCCTAGAGGGCCTCTACTGATCACCGCCTCGAGAATTCCCCACAGTCTGGGATCAGCGCTCTGCTGATCTTCATCGTCTGCGTGGCCACCGGCATCATGGCTGGCGCGTTGGCTCTCATCATCTGATCTTTGATGCTCGATGTTCCTCAGGTGCCTTCGCAAGGCGGGAGGTGTCGGCGGCATGACGAGACCGTACTCTTTCCGAATAAACGCTGCCAAAGCAGCTGGTTGGATGGAGAGGCGAGTGAAGGTACCTGGCGCCACTGTGCCGGATGGCGTACTGGACCCGCGATCCCAGAGTAGCGGGTTTTCAAACTGTTGAAGCAGACTTTCTGCTTCTTCCGAGAGGCTATCAAGTGGAACTCCGACAAGCAAACGGCTGCCATCTGCAGAAAGCCCGGGAGGGTTTCAAGCGCCATGAAACATTTGCCTCAGTCGGCTGCAAAACTCTAGCCCACGCCAGCAGCGAGAAAAATATCCCACGCTTACCTCTCAACGAAGCGAGCGCGCTTCGTACCACGTCGACTACAACATCCGAGGCATTGTCGGTTTCGGTCAAGAGCGGCTCGACAGAGTCGATGATTACAGACAGACGACCGCGGGCTGTTCGAGACGGTCATCAGAATCAATTCGACATTTACCGGGCAGTCAGGAGATGGACAGGAATGCAGTCGCGGCCTTTGTATGCTCAAAACGCACCTTGAGTGTACACCCGAGCGATGGCGTCTTGGATTGATTTGGTATCGAAAGACGGTGCCTGCGGCGCCGAATTGCTGTAAGCATCTGAACTGCAGATGTCGAGAGTGTGCACAAGTCCTCCGTGGGCGCGCTTCTCCAGGTCAGGTGGCAGGGCATCCAAGTATATAGAAGGGTGCCGTAAAAGCGTGACAAGCAGCACCGGCTCTCCCCTTAGAGCAAGAAGGACAGGTACGGCCTGCTCAGCAGGGAACGGAACAAAGGCCAAGTGTCGCCGCACAATTTCTCACCTCTCTAGTGCCCTGGCGACTAATTCGCGCTGAAATGGAACGCTGGACTGAGCCAGAGACTCGCCTAGGATGGAAAGGGAGGGTGCTTGTGCTAGCGCATGCGCGTGCGCGTGTGTGTGGAACGAGGAAGAGGCGCCGATGGCATGATGGCGAGAGTGATTGAGCACGTCAAGGGCGACGGATGAAGGCCCAGCCTGCGCCGGCATCGTGCACGACTTTGCTTGCAACGGTATACAACGTACCACAAGGGGTGATCATCTGTGGATCAGGGTCTCGTCTCCCCGTTCTCAGGACCCAAGTGCTTGCCGTCTTACATAGCCATGACCATCTCAAAAGCGGGGTTTGCTGTAACCAGCACTAAAGTTAGAGATAGGCATCTGCCTGATCGGCTCTGCTCTGCGGGAGTTCTGAATGTTGATGTACCAGAAAATGTGTGTTACGTAATCGACATCGGTGTACGCTTGGGCAGTCTGCGCCAGCAACTTGCCAACTAATGGGACAGCCTCATCTGTGGTACATTAAGGCAAGGGTTTGGGGAGTGTCTGTGAGAGACTCGAGGGGCAACGAGCCGTCGGCTGCTGAGATAAAGAGAAGCACCGGGACAGGCTTGGAAGCTTGAGGCATGAATGACAGCTTGAACTTTAGATCAAGAAAAGACGAGAACCACTGACGAAAACACATGTGTATTGAGCTTTTTGCGCAGCGGGCAAACGAGAAAGCTCTCAAGGTGCAAGTCGAGTATTGGGCATCGAATGCTAAAAGGGCTGCTATCTGCTGTTCGTGATCGAGCTGTGTGAAGCTGTGTTTCTGCGCTACTTGTCACGGGTGTCAGATGTTGTTGACGGGACCCGCCGCTCGTCATTGCTTCACGATGCAGCTACAAAGGCGGAGAAAAGAGGAGTCTGTCCCAAATCCACATGTCCTCATACATTGCTGACTACTTGCAGGTGCGAAAGATGCATTGCTGCCACCGGTATTAAATCAAACCGTAGTGAGGATCCACTACCTTCATACAGTAATGGAGAAGCGAGAAGTCCACGCATAAGCTCCCTATTCATAGTCGCAGCCACAGCCAGGCAAACAAAGGAGGTCTCGCTCCATCAGGCAACATGTCATCATTTGCCACCTCGCTCGCCCCTACGGGCCCGTGTGGCTACATGCGCCATCACGCGATGACACGCGAGGGGCAGGGCGCGGGCACTGCACCACTCTCTATGCAGTCTCGATCACTAACACCGGCCAGCCACCTAGACTCTGCGCTCGCTTCGTTCATCATATGTCGGCTGTATGCATGTAATTGAATACATGCTTAGTTTGATGGAGTCGATTACAGCAGCACAAGTCGCCCACCCTACCGACATCGCTTATGGCAAGATCTCCTCCAGTCCACTAGCGTATATATCACCGTGAAAGACGCCCCCGTCTTGCCAGCCGCGCAGCCAGCCATCGGTGATACCCCTGATCCCCAAGTGTACTCCACTCAGCATCGCCCATCGCTCTCTCAGATGGGAGCATGATGCCATCGCAGCAACCGCATTTGCAGTTGCAGTCACAGCCCCAGGCCGAACCTTTATGCCAAGCAGATGTGCCCGACGCACAACAGAAGCAGCAAACGGAGCGCACACTGGACCTCGCCAACCCTGCTCGAATAGCGACTCTACACACACTTCTCGCGACCTCTGGGCAGCGGCATACGTGGACCTTCCCCGCCAACATCACAGTGAAGGCAGTAAAGGAAATCATCTTTAACGAGTGGCGACAAGGTGAGCCGAGTTTGATGTCAACTGTGCGCGCACGCCGTCCCCACTCTCGCCAGAGCACTGCTGATACTCGCTCATCGCCTGGCTTTTCCCCTCCCCCCACCACCACCATCGCCGCCCTCTCTACAAAGAATGGCCGGAACGACCGCCGCACGCAGCCTCTCTGCGCCTACTCCATCTCGGTCATTTCCTTGATGACCGAGTTGCCTTAGATGACGTCCCCAACGTCGCGACCACACTTTCGTCATCCCCATCGACACAAGTCGCCGCCACGGTCGTCCATCTCGTGATCCGGCCGAACTGGTCCAATGCGACGGATGGTGCTGATGGTGTGTATTCCGTAATGACGCACACGGTACTTCAAGCTGATATGCAGTGTCTTCCCGGCCGTGTTATACAGACGAGTCGCTGTTGAAGAGCAGCGCAGCAGGATCATCGGGCGTCGGCGGATGCCGATGCATCATCTGCTAGCCGCCGCCCCATCACACACCCTTGCTATCTTATTAAATCTCCAAATGGTTACGGTCTGTCAAACATCGATACTCTAGGGATTTGGCTTGACGTTCGCAAATTGTAACGGGCAGAACGGCTTTTTGGGCGGCGCTTCTCCTACTCTCATCATCATCATCATCATCAGCAGCAGCGCAGCAGCGCTAGATCAGCAACCAGCAAACATTTACTTCAAAGTCATGCATCAGATTGTATTATACGGGGATACGCCCCGCAAGCAAAACAAAGGAATCGCTGCACATGCACCAGCAAAGTCTATTCGTGCTCCGATTATTGCCAACGCACCAAGCCGGTTTGCATACATTACAGATGATAACGGCGAATGTTGATCGAGAAGGGACAGTATAGTCGGCTATGCACGGTATTGATGGCGATGTTGGATAGTTGGATGGCGGCTTCCGCCATGAAGCAGAGAAGGCACGTTAGCATCGGCAGGATGTGTTCTTGGATATCGCTGGATGTACGAGGAGATTGGTGGCACAGACGATCAGTGGTGCGTGGCCCTTCGCGCGTGATCGATCCGTAGCGATGTGGTCGGTTCCGAGGTTGTCGGCGATGTTCGAGATGGGGCGGCGCTCCCGTTGATGGACATAGCCACGAGCGGAGCTGTCAAGAAATACGTGATTATGATCGGTCAGGTTGTTCCTTCAAGCCACTTGTGATGCGATACTCACTCATTTGTGCAGCAAAGTGTTTCGGCGTCTCTGGTCGGTTCGGCGTGACGTTGCCTGGCGTAGATGGCACACTGCGGTTATGCTTCATGTGTGCCTGGATCAGATGTCCGGCAGCCAATGCAGACATTAGGCTCAACTCGCCAGCCATGACCGAGGCGGCGATAATGCATGCCAGGCGCTGCGCGTTGGCACCCGGCTTGCTCGGATGCGCACCCGCGACGCCGATCATCTCCAGCATGGCGCGTTGCGGCGAGAGCACAGTGCCACCGCCGACTGTACCGACCTCAATCGAGGGCATAGAGACAGTGATCAGAAGGTCTTCTCCGCCATTTGTGGCCTCCATCAAAGTCATGCAATTGGAGCTCTCGACATTCTGTGCGGGGTCTTGCCCGGTCGCCAGATAGATCGAAGTCAAAATGTTCGCGGCATGCGCGTTGAATCCTCCAATGGAGCCAGCCATGGCACTGCCGATGAGATTCTTCTTGATATTGAGGTTGACGAGGTCAGCGACGGTCGTCTTGAGCACAGTCTTGACAACGCTGCCCGGTACGACGGCCTCTGCGACAACACTCTTGCCTCGCCCCTCGATCCAGTTGATCGCAGCAGGCTTCTTGTCCGTACAATAGTTGCCGGATAAAGACAGCACCTTCATATCCGGGAAGTGGTCCTCAGTCATCATTACTAATGCCTTTTCCACACCCTTCGAGATCATGTTCATGCCCATGGCGTCACCAGTGGCCGTAGCAAAGCGGACAAAGAGAGTACGACCGGCAAGCACGCAGCGCAGTGATGACAGCCTTGCAAAGCGAGAGGTCGAGTCGAAGGCAGCTTTGATGGTGCTTGCACCTTCTTGTGAGTCAATCCATCGCTTCGCTTTGGCCGCCTGAATGACCGAAGGAAATTCCAGCGCAGGACCACGCGTCATGGCGTCCTGGGTGAGGACGGTCGTCACACCGCCGCCCGCATTGAGGGCCTTGCAGCCACGTGACGTCGAGGCGACAAGCGTGCCCTCGGTCGTGGCCATCGGAATCGGGATCGTCTGACCATCAATGTTGAGCGGACCAGCAATGCCGACGGGGATGGGCATGTAGCCTACGACATTTTCGCAACATGCACCCATGACCTGAGCGTAGTTGTAGTTGCTGTGCGGCAGAAGGGAAGTCTCCAGCGAACGGCTGAATGAGGCACGGGAGACGAGCGCCCTTCGGATCCTGACAGCTCGGTCGTGGTCTTGGAGGAGCTTCTCGAGCGCATGCCCAGCAATCTTGCCTTTTTGCGAGAGGACAATAATCTCCTCGTCAGAGAGGAAAAAGACGCCTGCCCCGCCTGCATACAGCTCCAGCAGCTCGTCGAAGGGTCGAACATCGACATTGCGGTTTGCGGACATCTGTGTGGTGGGCTGCAGGCTAAGAGACACGACGCGCTCCCTGGGAGAAACCAACGCGCCTTCTCCGTCGGAAGTGGTAGGCAAATCACGATGGCCATTGAGCTTCCGCAGCGCCTCACCCACATCGGACTTGATCGCAGCGGCTGGTACACCAGTGCTGTGAACCGACGCGCTCGGCATCGGCCCAGGCAGCTCTAGTTTGGAGGAAGCTTTCTCTGCCGAGATCCGCGCCATTCGCTTGTGATAACTGTCGATGCCTGTTGCATCGACTTTCGTGCGATCACTCCCCTTGTCGCTCCAACGCCGACGAACATGGTCCAGACGCTCGTTCAAGGTCTGCTCGGGGTTCAAGTGAGCTCCAAGCATACGCGCAGCCGCAAAAGCTGCTGCACCTGCTGCATTGCCCTGCGCTACTGCAGCATTGCCGGTGGCAATCCCCTTGAGAAGGTACGTGTTGAGGAAGATGCTGACAGCGAGCGCAATGGACATCCATTTGCTGATGACCGGGTCGCCAACGATGCTCGTCCAGCCAAGCATGAGGCTGTCTAGGACGTCAAAGCTGGACGACCGGCCGACTTCACGAGTCACAAAGATGGAGCGCGCCTTCAGCGTCTTGTTCAATGCAGACATATTCAAAGCAAGGGCGCTGAGCGTGTTGGCCTGCGCGTTCGGCGACTGCGGGTCGACAAGCGCGAGGATGACAGGCTCAGAGACCTGCACGACGAGATTATCCTTGTGCTGGCGTGCCAGGTCTGCGAGTAGCGGTGACAAAGCTGGCGCATTCGGCGTCCAACTGGTGAGGCCGGTCAATTGGAGGAATGCCTCGTGCGGCGTGAGCACCTGCGTTGACTGGTGTCGGGAGAAAGCTGACTGCGTCGTCAGCGTCGAGACCAGGTTGAGCGAGTGGAGGATGAGGAAGGAGGTCAAGAGCATGATCTTGAGCCTAGCAACTGGATTCTCGGTGCCCTTTCGCCTCTCAAAGGGAATGTAGCCAAAGACAAGCTTGAAGGCCTTGTGCCAGAGCGGACGGTTCGCCCTGCTCGGGCTCAGCCCCCTGTTCGACGACTGGGAAGTCGGCGTCGGCGTGCCGCTGGACCGCGTTGCATCGAGCGCATCCTGATCGGTGTCATTGTTAGGCGGGGTGGCAAGCTGCTGGACATTGCGAGTGCCGCGGAGGATCTTGATGCGATGTACCTCGACCATGACGGTGAGGATGCCGGCGTAGAAGGAGAAGAGGAAAACGCAGTCGAACGCAAGGATGAGCGCACCCAGCTGACAGAACTCGCGAAGGCCACTGAGGCCGCTGGTCGCACCGACAGCCAAGACGGCGATCTCGATCATGTAATCTTTCGCGATTCGCGTGCCCTCGGTGTCGATGGCGGAGAGGATAATGTCACGAGCTGGAAGTGGCTGCGGCAGGTCCCAGCTGAGCGCGGCGGATTCCTCCCTGAGGCGGGCGGTAAGAGCGCGCACGAAAGACTCCTCGCGCGAGATGCTTCCGGTGTGCGGTACATCCGCGGCGCCATCCTGCGAAGCTGGCTCCGTCTCGTTGAGAGCGTCGAGAAGGAAGTTGCGCTTCGCCTTGCTCGGACTCGGGTGGGAAGGTGCAAAAGAGGGGTGGGTAAAGACTGCACGTGTGAGATTGTAGGGCTTCTCGAACCCGACAATCACGACAAAGAACGGGAGAGCCTCAGACAAGCAGATCGGGTCGACAGTCACGCCGCAGTAGTAGGCGGTGGTAAGGGCAAGCAGGAAAGCGAATGTGCTCGAGATGAGGACCGAGGTACCTACGAAGCAGCAGGGAAGAAAGGTCGAGAGTCAGCCACGAATGAAATCCAAACACAGGGTCTGCAGCGTGCTCACCTAGCCAAAAATTGGAGCCAAATTTGCGCATGGAGAGGAAGAGGTTGACAAATGATGCATGCATAAAGACGTAGGCGGACAGCATGACGAAAATGTCTGCTGAGTCTGCTTTCTGTTGAAGCGGGAAGTGACGAGACAGACAAGTATGCAACAGGGGTGAATGGAGTGGAGTCGACGTGTCAGAGACCACGAACAGGCACAAGCAGACAAAAAGTGTACAAAGGGATGCGGAATAGCCGAGAAATGACGCACCTTGAGCAGCGCCCAGAATTTTTCTACGAGCGAGCGACTGGCATACGCCATCCATCGGAACGAACGCATCTGCTCGGTCGGATGCTGCGACTGGGCGACACGAGGGATCGGTCGTCCGGCCTGTGCAAAGCTATGCGCGGAGAGGATGGGCAAGAGCTGCCACTGGTGCGTCTCGGAGCTTCGGCTTGGGAGTTTAGCGTTGAGGCTGGAGTTAATGATGCCGCTGAGGAAGGACTCCTCGCTGAGCTGCAAGAGCAACTCTTTCTCTTCCGCCGTGTTTGCGCCCTCGAAGGCGACGGCAAACGTAGAGACGGACGCGTCGACCGAGACGGGCTTGGAGACGATTCCGCTCGCGCTGGTCAGAGCATTGCTCACGGCCCGCGTGACGGCCTGAAGGACTGATCGGCTGCCGTCTTGCGAGGATGCATCGGTGTCGACGAGAAGGATCGGCCTGAGCGAGAGCAGCTGTGTGCCGAGCGCGGCCTGCTCCTCTGGCGACAGGGTGCGCGCTTGCCAGAGGTCGGCGATACCGGCAGCCGATGGTGCCTTGACCCACGTGCTTTTTCCATATGAAGCATTATGGGCCCCGCTGGCTGAACTCGTTACGGAAGACGCGAGATCCAATCCGATTACATCTGTGCCCAACGAGTCGAAGAAGTTGGAATGCGTGATGGCATGTAGCAGCTTGAAGTATGATAAGGTGACGAAGATGAAGACGCTGACGATCGTCTCGATCGGCCGCTGGGAGGCTTGATAGGCGAGGCCGCGGAGCATGGTTCTAGGTAGCATCTGGTGCTGTCTGCACGCCACTATGTGAGGGAAGCAAGCTCGAGGGGGTGGGACAAGTAGACTCGGGGCAAGCGATTGGGCGTTGAAGCAAGCGAAAGAGAGGCAAAGCAAAGGTGGGAATCTGCTACAGCGACATACCCGCTGACCGCTGATTCTCTTCCGAGCGTGCTGCGTGTAAGAAGACTACTTGACACTGACTGCTGCAGCACGCACCAGCAATCAAGCTCGCTCGGGACGCAAGTTGAGTACGTCGTCGGAGGCGAGCCGTGTATAGCCAGCAAGCGTAGAAGGATGGTGGGCTGTGAGCCTGTCAGGAAGAATCAATCAGCTTGTGCCCACCAAAGATGGACCCAGATGAGATGGGGGGTCTGGTTGTGAGGCGGTGTGGTGTTGCAGTCCACATACTCATAGAGTGTGAGACAGTGCTCCAGCACTGGCACCGGTAATCCATGATAAAATGGCATGGAAAGCGGGCGCTGTTCTGGCTTTTTCTCCCTGGCCTGCAGTCCATCACTGCACCCACAGACGTTTTGACAGGGAACCTCGAGAAAATGTTCTGATTTGATTTGTTTTTTTGCCGACTGGGGAGTCAAGTGTAGAGGCACCACACCGCATCAGCAGACATTTCCAAAATTGTGGGCTGACGCCGCCTGGCTGGCAATGGTGCTGTAGTGCTGTTCCACCTGCCACAGCGCGTCAGGGACCGATGAACAGTGGAGGAATGCGCCTTGCTCTGCTGTGTCGCAGGTACGTGCGCTAGACTTTTTTTTCCCTGGGCACTGCATAGCGGCCCTGTCTTGCACAGAGCTGCACCTGACCCCCTGCCCCCACCCCTCCATCATCGGCGTTCGGCACAGTGCGCACGGCCGGGAGGTTTGGCAGGCGGGAGGACAGTGTGCGAAGATCGCCTATGAGCAGCACTTCCTCCAAGCGCTGCTCGACATACATCGTGGCCAAGATCGCAGAATCTCGGGAGAATAAACAGACTCAGAGCAATTTCGCGTGAACGCCTCGGCAAATTTGCGCAGTCGTCTGGGAGTTCCTTCCAGCACAGTCCCGCGAAAGAAAACAGCCAGTGAGCTTCGAAATTCAGGTTGGGGCAAAAGCGGAAACCACGAAAGGTCATGGACTTTTGGTCTTGTGTAATGTGTTTGCCTTCCACACTCGGCCGAGAGAGGCAGTCGAGAGAGGACGCGTCGCGCACAAACACAAACCGACCACGGAGTACACGCCGCACGCCCTCGCTCTGTATCGAGATAAGGTGTGGCTCTATTAATAGAGGCCCCATAGGAGGCCATGTTATCGTCAGTCCAGATTGGATTGGATTGGATTGTATCAAGACAACCGCAGAGTGTATTCGACACTGACGTTGATGGAGACAAGGCGCGCGTTTGTACACCATAGCTCTCGTTGAGCTGCAGGAGTTGTCCATCGGCACGTTGACAATCGCAGACCCCCATTTTCGCCAAGGTCGCCAACTTGGAACCCCCGTCACCACTGGCGCGCGAGACATCTAGGATACGCGGAGCAAGACTATATAGCGGCAGCGACATTGGACCCCCGCTTCTTCGCAAAGATGGTTCTTCGGACCCCTTGTTCCCTCTCCGGCGCGCTGAACTTGGCGGTCTACCTCGTCCTGCTCCTGGTCGCAGCACCGGCCGTGCGAGCGTGGGGTCAGGTCGGACATGCCATCGTCGCCACAATCGCACAGACGCAGCTCCATCCTGCCGTACGCGCACACATCTGTTCCATCCTCCCCGACTTTACCGCGTACCAGAGCTACTACCCTCGGCAGGGTGCTCCTCACACACAGTGCGTCAATGCCGTCAAAGGCGTATTTTGATCTTCACTAACTGGCCTGGCCCAACCTTGCTCCAATCACAGCTGCCACCTCGCACCCCTGGCATCATGGCCTGACGCACAGCACATGCGCTACCCCTGGTCCTCCAAGCTGCACTACATCAACCCGCTGCAGGATGACCCGCCGCTGCACTGCACATACGGCGAGGAGGGCTGGGCATCGCCCGACAATCTCGTCACCGCGCTGTACAATTACACATCTCGTCTGCAAACAGAGCAAGGCTGGGAGCGTGACATGGCCATGCGCATGGTCGTCCACTTGATGGGCGATATGGGCCAGCCGCTGCACCTGACCGGAAGAGATCGAGGCGGGAACGACGTATGGGTCCGCTTCGAAGGGCGCAAAAGCAAGTTGCACACGGTCTGGGACAGTTTGATGCTGCAAGCGCAGATCCGCTCTCTCGCCAACTACACAACGCCTCTTCCTAGCGCACGCATCGAGTCGGCCTTGCAAGGCAGGATCTGGGACAACTACATCCGATGGCTTCTGCAAGAGGGCTTGGGCCAGCCGACCCTGTCGGCGCCCTCCCCCGCCCCACCTGCGTCAACTTGGTGGTCCGAAGCCGATCAGAAAGATTGGCTGACCTGCCCAGCTACCAGCGAGGCAGACCAGAGCGACAACACGCAACTTGTCCTGGGGCAGCAAAAAGTACGACAGCTAGCCACGGGTGAAGGCACCATTTGCGCCATGGCCTGGACCAAGTTGATGCACCCGCTTGTATGCTCGTATGCGTTCGCCGCTCCTGTGCCTGCGCCGTCCAAGCCCAATGCGGCGTTCCTGATAGGTGCTGGCCCAAGGACACCTGTGGATCTAGAAGAAGACGAGGATGAGGCGGACATTTGGACGATGAAAGACGCCGAGCTCAGTATAGAGCATCTCAACGCCAAAGCCGAGCTCGCGCGCAGAAGACGTCGGCGGCGTCGTGGTCCGGGCCGTCACCCTCAGCCCCGACCCTACCCTCCTCCTTCCTCTCCGTCGGACCCGGACCCGCAGCACCCACAACCACAGCCTGAGCTGGCGGAGCTTGACGTGCCAGAGTACTTTGGCCGCATCAATGACGACAAGATTCTGCAAATGCAGCTTGCAAAGGCGGGCGTTCGATTGGGCGCGCTGCTTAACAGCTTACTGCTCGATGAAGCGCTACAAGCTGGCCACTAGCAGCACGTCCTCGTTCTATCTCAAGCCACAACTGACGCCACGACTTCATCGAAACACACGTCAGGACATTCTCTGCACTGGCCCTCGCTAAATCGTCGCACACGCTAATGCGTAATCGTATTTCATGAACAGGTATCCAATAAGACTTCGACACATTCTCAGCTTGCGTACTGCATTTGCATGTTTGTACTTGTGTCTCACGTATCTGTAAGCTACACTTTGTTTCATCCTCATCATCATTGTCATCGAGCCCACGAATCACCGGCGCTGTCCATGCCTCGGCGCTCTCTTTCCATGGACGCCTCGAACTCCCTGCTCGCTCGTGCACGGTCTTCCTGCGTGCCCTTGCCGAATGTCGGATCCTGCGTGGTGACGCATGGAAGTGAAGTTTCAGCTGTCTGTTAGCTCAAGGTTCACTCGTCCTCATGCCGTGGATGCACGGCGGACGCACAAAAGAACTCACAGCTAGTATCGCTCCACTTCTCGGGTTGACATTTGCAGCCGTGGAAGCAAAATCGCCTTGCCCTTGCCCTGGACTTTGCCACTGCGACTGCGGCTGTTGCACCGGTCCTTGTCCAGGCAAAAGCCTTGGCGTCTGACTCAGCCCATCGCGAGCGTTTTGCTGTCGCAGCTCGTCCCAGCGGGACACCTGCGCGCCGCGCTCGCCGCGGAGCTGCGCCCAGCGCGATGGAGGCAGCTGGTCCTGCTGTGGTTGCGATGGGGGCGGCGACTGCGTCCGCGATTGCCACCCTGCTTCTCGCCCTTCGAAATACGCGTCGCTTGTAGACGGATTAGATGCGTCAAGTGGGGCAGAATTGGCGCTCCAGCTCCCGTTGCCTACATATGGTTGATCTCGGGAAACCTCGCTGCTGTCATATGGGTTGAAGATGCTAGCGGGAAGTTGGCGTACACCATCTTGCGTTGCCTGTAGAGGTGGAGGCGGCCCGGTACCTTGCTGTCGTTGGATCCGATCCGCTCTCGCCTCTTTGAGTACCATGGCTAGATGCTGCGGATCTTCGACATCCTTGAGGTATCGCTGTCCAGCAATCACGCCGAGATCCTCCAAGAGAAACGCAGCGCCTGTGTGACGAGAACATGTGGCGGGTGAGCTACTGCACGAGTCCAGACAGGGGGTGGCAAGAGTATAGTCAACTACTCTTTACTCACCAAGACCTCCCGCTGTCGAATACGCTAGCAAAGAAAAGTGCTTGATATCCGGCTTGCGTCTTCGCATGAAGAAGGTGGTGCCTAGAGTGCCGAGAATGTATCCCGCGAACTTGAAATTGCTTGCGGTTTTTTTGAGGCGGCTGAGCGCCTCTGCTTCCTTCTCCGTCAATTGTGACGCAGCACGGGAGCCGACTATGCGCGTGATTTCTTTGCGTGTCCCTGGTTCAGGATTGGCAGGACCTGTAGGTAAGGTGGACTGGTACGGGCCATTGTCGCTCCATGTCGGTGCGCTAGAGTCGCCGGCGCCAGCGTTGTAGCTCATCGTGGACGGGCTCTGAGACCTTCTCGTACCCGGAAGAAAGCTACGAGTCTTGCCAAACACTGCATGAAATCATGGAGCGAAGGACCTCGAATGCGAGCCCAACGTGTGAACAAGCCAAGAATGCACAGGGTCTATAGAGCATCATCAAGACTCAAGCGAGCTGCGATATGCGTCACCTGCGAGGCCATATTGTCTACTAAAGTCTCACGACTGGTGGATGTGTCTCGGCCCGGGCGTTACTTTGTAGGCGACGGAGCATTTATTATATAGGGTTGTGTACCTGCATACCACAGAGGTGACTGATGATTCCCCTCGATCATCTGGCGAAGTCTTAGTGGGACCAATTGAAATGGAGCTCGCACGAACTTTCTTCACCCAGCGCTCTCGCCTTGAATGTGCTTGAAGAGGTCAGGCTTCATTGTCTCAACTGCCTGCGACGCGCTCGGGATACTGCCATTTCTAGGTCCTTCTGAAGAGTTCCCCTCCCGAATGGTTGATGGAACCATATACGTACTAGGATCCAGATTAGGCCCGGCCCCCAGTGCCACAAACTCGAACGGTGCGCGGGGTACTGAGCACCAGCAATGCTGCAACTTTGAGGAGGGACGCTGGCATCCAGCCGCCGGCCAAAGATGGAGAGGAGACTGCAGGTATCATGGACTCCGCCGCAAATGGCGTGGCTGCGGTCCAAAAGTTGCCGGAACGGAACGAGGTGTCTCACTCACCGCGCTCACCCACAAAGCCAAATGCCGCGTTCGAAGAGTCCCATGCAAGGACTTGTCCATTGGTGTACATGTACTCATTTGCTTCGTCCGCAGCGAACACTCCGCACATGCTGTAGGCTCCCTGGAAGTAGTTATCTCTGATTCTCGCCATGCGAGGTCCAGATATACTCGCAGACATGTTATAGCACAGGATGCGATTCAGCAGAGTATATTCTGCAGCGGGCAGCCGCAACGAGACGATCTTTGTTTTGGCTTGATTCTGGAATCGAACGAACTACTACACACACCCAAGAGCAAGGCGGCACCAAAGCGAGAACCTCAATGAGAAATTTTGGAGAAACGAAGATAGGGGAAAACGAAATGCTATGCGATATGAGTACTTTCGTTGGGATGGATTAAGATGTAAGAGAAGGGCTCGGCCGTTCGGTGCGGCGCGATGACGCCTAGTTGAGACGGTGCTGACCTGATGCTGCAGCTGCAACTGCCTTTCCTGCTCACTTGTTTGCCTTGGCCGGGTTGACGAGGACACGGTCTGGAGTGAGGCAGTTGATGTAGAAGTCGTCGGCTGGGTGCCTGTACAGGTTGCTCTTGAGGCGGCGCTGATCCAGGTGGTGACCGATGAAGCCGATTGAGCGCGCAACGCTGGTCAAAAAGAAGAAGGTAGAGGCCACAGCAAGAGCATGAAGTCAGTACCTTGGTCTCCTTGTGTCAACGGGCGAACCTTGCCAGGGCTGCTCACACAAAGAGTCCGTTCAGGAACTTGAGTTCGACGTACTCGGCTGCCTCAGCGGGAGTGAAGCAGTTCCTGAGCATGTCAACCATGGCGATGGCGAGCGCACCGTCGACACTGCAAGGAGGGAAAAAGGGTACGAATATTTTGTGTTAGTTTCCCTGTCATTCAACAGGGGTCCACACTGTATACTTGCTTGAGAATCAGGGTGTCCTTCTTCGCTGTCGTTACTGCCTGGACCTTCAAAGCATAGTCGAGCAGAGGGTGCGACGGGAATGTCTTCTTGACGTAGTCAACGACGAGCACGACCCGCTGGTCCGGGTTGCGCAGCGACTTGATCTTGTGGCCGATACCGGGGATAAGACGCGACTGCTTGCGCATCGAATCGACGAACTCTCTTGGCGTCAGCCCCTTGTCATATGCGGCAGAGAACTCGATCGCAGCATCGTCGAGCGCGCCGCCGAAGCGCGAGCCGATGGTGAGCAGACCGGCGCAGAGCGAGCTGACAAGGTCCTTGCCGGCACGCGTGGTGATGATAGACGTCATCGCGCCGGAAACCGCTGGGCCGTGGTCGGCGCAGAGGCAGAGCGCCATCTCGATGAGCTTGGTGCAGTACTCGGGCAGACGGCGCTTGAACCAGAGCAGAGAGATGACGCCGCCGATGCCCATGTTGGACGCGAACACCTCGGAGATAGTGACGCCCGAGTAGATCAGCTCGGCGCCGCGCTCATCGGAAATAGTCGAGATGAACGCAGCGGGTTTGCGGACCATACCGAGCTCGCGGGCCCAGTTGTAGTCGACGGGGATCGTAGGGGGCGGGCGCTCGGGCCGCGGGGAGATGTCGCCGTTGGCGACCATCTTCTCGTACACCTGACGCAGGACGACGGGGAGGTCTTCAAACGTGTCGGGGACGATGAAACCGGCCTGCTTCATCGCAAGGTTCTTGGCCGAGGCGGTCTCCATGTCCGAGTTGGCCATCGAACCGGCGTGGCCGAACTGGACCTCGGTTGTGAACATCTTTGCGCATGTGCCGATGGCCCAGGCGACGATAGGCTTGGTGATGATACCCTGCTTGACCGCGTCGATGACGCGGTACTCCTCGACACCGCCAACCTCGCCGAGAAGGACGAGAAGTTTGCAGGCAGGATCTTTCTCGTAGCGCAGCAGGTGGTCGATGAACGTCGTGGCGGGGTAGCGGTCGCCTCCGATGGCGATGCCCTCATAGGTGCCGTTGGTGGTAAGGGAGAGGATGTTATTTAGCTCGTTGGACATGCCGCCGGACTTGGACACGTAGCCGACAGAGCCGGCGCGGTAGAGCTTGGAGGAGATGATGTTATCCATCATGCCGCCCGAGTTGCCGATGCGGAAGCAGCCGGGCTTGATTCCGCCGACGGTGGCGGGGCCGATGATCAGCACGTTGGCCTGCTTGGCGCGCCAGAGAATCTCACGTGCATGACGTTCGGGCACGCCCTCAGCGATGAGCGCGAGCGCGCGGATCTGCGGGTGCGACAGCACCTCGAGCGAAGAGCTGTACACGGAGCGACTGGAGGCGAAGTTGACGACGACGTCGGCGTCCGGGTGCTTCTTGCACGCCTCGGCGACGGATGTGTAGACGGGCAGGAGCGTCTCCTTGGTGCCCCAGTAGAACTTCTGGATGTGGTGCCCGCCGAAGGGGTAGATCATCGCCGCGACCGATGGTGTGCTGCGGCCGCAGGCGTAGTCAAAGTCGAGCATGCCCTGGATCGCGCGTGGCTGGAGGCCGTAGATGAGCGAGCGCGTGTGCTCGTCAAAGGGGCGGTAGTCCGGGCGGGTAAGGGCACCGGTGGCCGAGTCGAACGTGACGATCTGGTCCTGCAGCTGTGTGCGCTGGCCGGTCTGGTAGTCGACCTGGCCGACGAGGCCATCGGGCTGCTTGTTGGCGGCCGAGCCGTTAACCTGTGGGTTCGGAGTCGCGGCGCCACTGGTGGGCGCAGCAATGTCGTGCGACGTTGCCGGCTGGATACCAAGCTGGACGTCCGAGAGCTGCTTGACGCCGAGCGCGAGAGGGACAATGTCGGTGATGTGCGTGTCGGGTCCAAAGACGTGGATGTCTACACCGAGGTCCTCGCCGAGCAGGCGCATCGCCTTTAGGCCCTCCTGGTAGTTGGGGCCGCCGCGACGGACAAAGATGCGGACGTTGTGCTTGATGAGCGCCTGCTTGTACTCCTTGAGTGCACGGATGATGCCCTTGAACGTCGCTGCGACGTTGGTAAAGTTGGCAATACCACCGCCGATGATCAGCAGCTTGCCCTCAGGGTGCGGATCTCCGCGTGTCATGAGGTCGAGCAGCGTCTTGGCGTACTCGAACGTCTGACCCTCGGAGGGGGCGCCCGAGTACTCGCCATAGTTGGCAAGCTCGTGCGCAAAGCCGTGGGCGGCGATCGCGTCAGAGTAGACGACCGAGGCACCACCGCCTGCGACCATGGTCCAGATGCGGCCCTTGGCGTTGAGGACGGTGAGCTTGAGCGATGCACCGGTGCCCGAGTCAAGCTTGGCAATGTATGCCTCCTCCTTGGTCAGGTCGCGGCCGAACGGCGCAGGCCAGTACATGGGCGGGCCGCGCTCCTCGCCCTTGGCGGCTGTGCTGACGGCCTTGTCGTTGTAGACGGACGGGTCGCGCGCGACGGCCCACTTGGGCCCGCAGATGAACTCGGCGGTCTGGTCGAGCTTGGCAGCCATGTCAAGGTAGGCGATGGTGCCATCATCGGTGACGACGAGTGGGTTGATCTCGAGGTAGGCAAAGTGCAAGTCGGCGTACACCGAGTAGAGGCGGATCAAAAAGTCGGTGAGGATCTCCTTCTTGGCAGCCGGCACGCCGGGGAGCAGCGTGGAGGTCCACTGTGCGCGGCTTGGGAACGGCTGCGTCGGATCGGCGGGAATCAACAGCTTGAGCGCTTTCGCGTCGACATCACCGACGTCGACACCACCCTCGTGGGTGAAGAGAATGTAGTCGCCCTCACGCGCCGAGTTGATGCACACGTAGTACTCTGTGTCGGCCGCATGTGGGAACAGTGGTTCGACGATGAAATTGTTCAGCGTGCCGGTCACTGTCTCGACCTGTCCGACGACCAGAAGAATGCTTTTAGCGGACATGTGGAGAGGGACCAAAAATGTATTTGCGGTCACACACCTTCTGCGGCTTGCCTGCCCGCTCCTGGATCCATTGCTTTGCCTCTGGCCAGTCGCAGTTAAGCTTGAGCAGGCCGGCCTTGCCACGACGCTTGATCAGCTGGTCCGGCTTGGCGACGAGCTTGGTGTTGAAGACCCAGCTGGGGAGGGTCTGCTCTGCGGTGAGTGCGCCGGTCTCGGGGTCCCATGAGATCTGCGCTACCTTGGGCTGCGGCGCGACAAAGGATGTTGATACGGCTGCGTTCTCGTGTACAAGCGGGGAGCGCGGAAGCCAGTAGTTAACCAGCAGCTTGGCGTCAAACTCGCGAATGGCTGTGAAAGCAGGGAGTTTGGTTGGGGTTCGGTCAGTGAGTCTCTCGGTTGATCGGGGCGAGTGGGACACTAGCCTAGCCGCTCCATGTGGCCCACGTACCTTTGGACGACATGCTGACGAATGCAGCAGCAAGAGACTAGAAAGGAACAACCAGGGAGTGATGGGTCGAGGCGAGGCACACGGGCTGGAAAGAAGATGCGAAGATCTCGATCACGCCTGGTGCAGGATGGTGGCCCTCTTTGTATTTATTTATTTTGTCCTTGGACGAGGGGGGGGGACGGTGGGGTGTGAGAAACGAAGATGGTGGTGGTGGAGGAGGTGTGTGTATATGTAGTGGCCAATGGACGGACGAGACGACAAAGGGGACAAGCTTGAGGCAGTCCAGTCATGTACTGAACAGCGAGGGACCACCAAGAACCAGAAGGGAAGACCAGATGGAGTGGAAATGGATGGTCTGTGCAGTGTGTGCCTCGGCGATGAGTTTCAGTTGGGACAAGTTGGGAACAGCGCGTGGCCATTACAGCAGCCATGCTCTATTCCGGTTCCGCCCTCGCGTCCTGACCCCCAGCACTCGGCAGGGGCGCAGCAACAGTGGACAAGTTTTTTTTTGGTTTTCTTTTGGGAGAGCGGCGCCGCGGCACTCCCCACCATATAGTCATCATGCTTCTGGAGACGGGCGGAACCACAATCAGCAGAGTCAAGACCCAGCCTCAGCCACCGCCACCACTACAGCTGACCAATTTGCAGAGCTACATATCCGCTCGCATACAAAACACGTGCGCTATTGTGCGCACAACATGGGCCCCAGGTTCGTTTTTGTTTTATCGCAGAGGGCCAGGTGAAAAGCCTGCCGGCGCCTTGATGGCCCATGGCTGATAGAGAAGCAGGAGCCCAGACGACGCTGCGCCAACTTCAAACTACTATACTGACTGTTGAGCCCCCGCTCGGGTCCTCTATGAAATTTTGGCAGCACTGACCGCCTCCTGTCAGGGGCGTGGACCGAGAGTGGAATTGGCATAAAGGAAAATGCTGGAGACCTGGAGGTGGAACCTGCTTCAACTGACGCAAATGAGAGTAGAGCCCCCAAATTGACATCGCACCTTCGTTTTCCACCTTTTGGGCGCAGACGCGGAGCGTTGGGTCTTGTGCACACGCAAACTGGCACTCAACCCAGGAAAGTGTGCCCATCGCTCTCGTGTCGAACGAACCTCTCACCGTCAAACCAGTATGGAGAAAGAGTTACGCGCACCAAATCTCATCGTTTGTGCTTTCAAGTTATCCCCTGCGTCCATATGCGACTGGACTACCTTTTGACATTCAATGTATCGATTTATGCCACATCATGTATTGCCATTGCCAAGGACCACCTCACGAATCAAAGACTGGACAGTTGTGCTTGCCGGCGATGCGTGTGATCCCTCGATAACATCATAGCAAGCACATGCACTCGACCTTGTCCGAAGGCTACACATGCTACACATAGCAGAAGCCAGCCCTCTCCTGTTGGCTCCCGCCCAAGCGTGACAAGTCACATTTCAGGTGGTAGCCACAGGGCAAGCGGCGTCGACCCTCGCTCATAGCATGCCTGTCGATGGTACAGCAGGAGGCCGTCGCCTTGCACCCCCTTGGACTGATCCGCAGCGTCGTCGGCTTCCCATGCGATGAGGACAGCGCGCGAAGGCTGTGCACGCACCGCGACCTCGGCCTCGAGCTCGCGCTTGCCCTCGCACAGCATCTCCTCCGCAGTATGCGATGCACCTACAGCGCTGTGCGTCCCCGCTTCAATCAGCGCAGGCGCCGCAGCGCGCCGCAGGAAAATGCGCATCTGCTTTTGCTGCGCGCCAGCCTCCTGCAGCGCGAACCATATGTCCGCGTGTTTCGCAAGCGGCGCCGCTGCCGATGGGAGCGGCACGAGCACGAACGGATATGGCGCGCGCTCGACGCTCCAGTGCGCTCGTGCTTGCTCGAGCGAGGAGGAGGATGTCGGCGACAACCTCGCCTCGCGCGGCACGTGATATGCTGGCAATTCGCGCAGCCGGGCGTTGCGCCAGTATAGCCGGAACTCTGTATCGCAATCCTCAAAACTGCGCGTGCCCCAGCAGAGGAGGTCGAGGACGTAGAGCATGCCCGTGCCTCGATCCTCATATGGCGATGGATCTGTGCCCCCCGCAGGCGCAGAGTGGTGAGCAAGAAGGATGCAGTCGAGTTGCGTGCCAGGTGGTACACCCTCTGGTGCTGGGAAGCGAATACGCCGATCCCGAGACGTAGAACCGTTATCTTGCTCACCTCCTGTATCCTCCTCCATGTCTTCGTCCTTACCAGTTGCATCTCGTCGTGCAAGGGTTGCTGCGACTTGGGACGGACCGTGTGATGGGTAGATCGCGATCGGCTTGCCGCCGACGCGACTATAGAGTGTCATCGTTGCCTTGCCCGGCGCGCGAGAAGGGTTGACGACTGCGAGACACCGCTTTCCCTTTGGCAGCGGTCCAACTGCGCACCATTCAGTGCCGACGTCGAATGGGAGGCCCTCGTCGGGATTGACCAGCTCGGCATGCATAAGCCTGTCTGCATACGGCCTGCTTGCAGCTTCTCTAACCGACGTGTGTCCCCGGTGGGACAGAGAGGGAAGCGAACTTAACGGCGCAATTGATAGTCTTGTTGCTGCACCTGGAGACTCTGCATGTTCCGACAAGTCTGAGTTTGCGAGTAACGAGGCTTGGGCATCGCCAGCATCGATTTCGTTACGAGCGCGCTGTACGCTGAAGCGTCTGCGCTGCGCGCGCGTCAGGACAAAGATCGGCGGGCGGCAGATCGGTCAGCTGGGATTAAAGATAGGCACTGTGCAGATGTTTGACCGCACCTGCTCTTGGTGAGCCAGCGCCGCCTCCCTTCTCTTTACCTGCGACTGCGTGTGGTTGGCGGGAGGACCGCGCTTGAAGAAAGACAGGCGGTCGTGGTTGGATGTCATCCTTGGCAAGATGCTACGAGTGTTCCTACCGACAACTCTTGCCCTCTCGCACCCTTTCTTTGTTGCTGGGAGCTGCTGCGCATGCTCAGGGCGCTCTGGATGTAGTTCGCCTTTTTCAGCTGCTGATAGCATCAGCTCGGCCACGTCTCGTTCCAAGAAGCTCCCATCCCCACGTGCTCGTGTGTCGACGGGTCTTCTCGTTCCTTGGCCATCAGCGATTGATGAATATATGGCTCTTGACCCTGGGGGACGTGGCACAGTTCTTCAGGTCATGTGTCTGACAGCATCAGCTGTAAGCTGACTGATTGCAGTGCGCGTTGTGCTTTAGTTGCCGCACACAGTCAATGGGGGAGCACCACCCACAGACAACCCTTCTTGATCGTGGTCCGTGGATCGTCGAAATGTCGGCGAAACGGCAATATGGTCCTTAATTACGGTGACGTGCACTAAGAAGGGAATTGTTTACTTTTTGGGTTTCGCAGGAATTATGTAACAGCAATCCATTCCAACCCTGGCCTCACCCCCAAGGTCTTCACCAGGCCGAGAGCATTAGCGTGTGCTACTTGCTGTCAACTAGGCAAGGGGAAGGCAGGCTGGCAAGCGAGTCTCGTCCAGCCTCTCATCGAACCAACATTCTGTTCCTGGAGGGAACTAAGGGTGTAAGCTCGCGGTTTTGAAAGGACTAAAAAGGTCAAGCCCACAACAGAAACAGAATATGGACGGTCTGGCATAGGCCCTCTCAGCTCTCCTCCAGCAGCGGGACCGCTAAAGACTAATTAAATGTTACTGTCTCAAGACGCCAGCCACACTGCCATCCGTATGCAACAGTTGCACTCTTGGATCAGCTCATCTTTTCCACCCGAGCCCTGAAGACGTCAGATGCGAGTCGTGTATGGATTACCGCACTTGGGACTTCCCTGCGCAGCTGACCCATCTGAAAGCATCTCTGCCGGAGGAATAGCAGATGCCCTCCGCCAGCATCTTGCATCAAGAGGTGTGAGCACTGCGCATAAGCCACCAACCGCGTAGCTGGTGCGGTTCCACCAGCATGTTCGGCTTCAACGACAAGCCAGCCAGCGTAGACTGGTCCTACTATGGCGGCGCGGAAGAACTTCCTCCTTCGATGCAGCGCATCCCATCTTCCGCCTCCACTGGCCACGCGTCGTTGTCGTCGTCGTCCCGCGTCAGCCTCTCTCCAGCCGAGGCGAGTACGCCCGCGACTTCTGACGACGAGGTCGATCTCTCTCTCTCCGAAAAGACCGCGAGCAAACTCAGGCAGCGAACAAATACGGCAGCAGCGGAGGCATCGTTGGCAAAGGAGCCTGCAGGCGCCAGTTGGATCCCAAATGTTCAGGTACCGCAGGACGAGTCAGACTTTCTTTGGCTGCTTACAGAGGAGCCGCACCGAACGAGACGGCAGGCGATTATGAAGGCACACCCGGAGGTCAAACGACTAATGGGGCACGAGCCGCTCACAAAATGGGTCTCACTCTCGGTCGTCTTTCTGCAGCTCAGCATTGCTACGCTATTCGCGCATTTTGGTGTCCATCCTCTCAACTGGAAGTTCCTCTTGACTGCGTATGCTATCGGGGGTGCAGCGAATCAGAACGTCTTTCTCGCTATCCACGAAATCACACACAATCTCGCATTCAAAGGCATCAAGGAGAATAAAGCATGGGCCATCTTTACCAACTTACCGATCGGTGTGCCATACGCCATGATGTTCAAGCGCTACCACATCGAGCATCACAAGTACCTGGGCGAGGATGGCATCGACACGGACCTGCCGACAAAGCTGGAACTGATGTGCCTCAAGAACGTCCTCGGCAAGGCCTTCTTCGCCACCTTCCAGATCTTCTTCTACGCCCTTCGCCCCGGTTTGATCCGGGCGCAGAAGCTGACGGCATGGCACATCCTCAATATTTGTGTACAAATCTCTTTTGACTATCTGCTGGTCCAAGCATTCGGATGGTACCCCATGTTTTACCTCCTCGAATCCAGCTTTTTTGCGGGCAGCCTACACCCTTGCGCTGCCCACTTTATCGCCGAGCATTACCTTTTTGGGGGGATTCAGCAGGAGACGTGGTCCTACTATGGTCCGCTCAACATTCTCTGCTACAATGTGAGTGCATATTGCGCGTGGTAGCCCATCTCATCGAGACACTCGACCTAACACCCCCCCCTTCGCTCACGCACAGGTCGGCTACCACAACGAGCACCACGACTTTCCATCGGTCCCATGGACGCGGCTCCCAGCGCTTCGCAAGATGGCTCCCGAGTTCTACGACTGCCTGCCCTCGCACAGGTCCTGGCCGCTCGTCACGCTGCAGTTCATCTTTGGCACGGACAGCGGTCTGTTCGCGAGGATCAAGCGCAAGTCGTCCAAGGAGGACGTCAGCATCAGCGCAGAGTAAGCGCGCCTCGCGCCCGGCACGCTGTGCTTTGTATCATACACACGCTTTCCGCGGCTGTGCTCATACGATTCTCCATGCTGTCAAACACCCGCATTCGTACAAGAGTGCTGGAATGCTCGTGTCGAGCCTTGAGGTATTGAAGCCTGGGTATATTGGGGCTTGTCTTCATCTGGGAGGCCAACTGAAGTTTCTGGAGTTGACTGGACTGAGCTCAAGTTGGCCCTGCTGGGTGGTCGCCGTCGGGTTAAGAATATTGCATCACGTGACGCGCCTGTAACCTGATTTTCGCTGTTGAGCGGCGACGTGCCGACAACAGCGGCCTTGCATGTAGGGCTGCAGTCAGCGAAAACATGCTCAGTGCCTTTTCGTCGGCAGCTGTAGCGAGCTCGAGCAGCGTCTTCGATCAGAACTCAGGGGGTGATGGCCATGTACAGGGTGTCGCCTCAGTAGGACTCTCAGCAATACATTCCCCAAATTTGTTTGCTGAAAGTTACCCTTCCCCTTCGGGCTTCGGGCCGTAGTCGGAGCCGTTGATGAGAGACAGATGACCACATTGCGACCAGCTGTTGTCAAGTAGTTCTCGTCAGCGTCGCCGAGGATAACGTTGGACCTGCCCGTCCTCGCCTCGGGTACCTTTTGACATGGACAGCATTGGGTAGCATGACGGCTAGGTGAGTCGAGCATTGGCGAGCTGGCACCTGGAGGGAACACGGAACGATGCTCCTGCATCCGCTCTTGCTTGTACCTGCTTAAATTCGTGCATGTGCATGTGCTGTTCACCGCTCACTCTGGTCTTCTCCTTTAGAGTGCTACCTTTCGGTCCGTTGGGACGTTCATCCACACAGATCAACGAATGCGTCCCCAACTCAAGATCGCACAGTCACATACAAGGCCAGATGCTTTCCTGCTGAAGGACTACCAGTGCTAGCAATAATTGTACCCTCCTGCCTTCTTCGTCACGACAGAAACGTCATAGCTAAAGCTATCGCCGCCACATGGAACGGCATAGGTCACACGACCAGCTGCTGGATTTTTTTTTACAATGGCTACGTTAACGCGGGAAGGCCGACAGAGCCACCCACCAGTCTGTACAACACCCCTTCAGAGCGTGCAGCTTTCTGGAGACGGACTGACCACATCATGTGTATTAAATCAAAAGTCCAACAAATCCACCCTCATCGCTGCAAATGGTCGCAAAGCTTCAACTCCGAAGGCCCGCCGCACAGTATCCTCGGCTGAGATTGTCACATTGAAGGGATCGTCCCATCTCACGCAGTCAAAAAGCGGCATCGCTGCGCGAAGGAGGACGGCCGAGCTTCTGCGCTCTACCACACAGAAATCAGCATCGCCTCCAGAAGTCGACGCTCTCCCCACCCCACCTGCGCGACCTCCACGATTACCAACAGCATCGCTGTCTCAACGACATCCTCGGCAAGCTCATATCAAAGAAACCACCTTTGACAGTCTCCAGGAGCTTCTAGAGCGAGCTGGCTACAGGGAAACGCGTGTCATCACCCCTGATCAGAAAAGGCTCGCCGCTGAACTGGCAGCGCGCGGCAGACGTGAGGAGGACGAGGCGATACACGCTCTAACCGCCATGGAACAGCGACGCCAAGGCAGCTTCAGCGGACGAAGTGCCGCGGAGGGAGCTGCTCGAGGACCGATACCCGGCTCTTGGTCAGCCTCCAGCGCTGCGAGCTCTACCTCCATCTGGAACTGGATGGGCACCGGCAGGGCGACAAAGCAAGTGGAAGCCGAAGAGGCAGCACTGATGTCTCCTGTCGGGAGCGCCGCAAGCTGGATTTCGAGTGTGACGGCACTTTGGCCTCCCAGCGCGGACCAACCTGGCGGGACGACCAGCAGCGATTGGCTGGTGAGATTTCCACATGGCGATGACGATCAGGCGGCGATAGAAGCCGTTGCACCAATACGCATCGAGAGGCCATCGCCCAAGAGGCACCTCCGCAAGAGCAAGAGCACCATCACGCATGCTGCTGCTACGGAGCGAGCGGAATCGATCCTACCGTCGATTGTCCTCACTTCTGCAGCTGAAGGGTTTTCAGCGACAATCACAGCCCAAACAACCAACGATGACGGTGGCGCGATACGGCTCAGCCCCTCTCTTGCAACTTCCAAGCGGCCGCTGCTGCGAAAGCGAAGGAGCAAGAATGACCTCTGGCAAGCAAGTCTAGCGTTGCGTGACGCGAGTGGAACAGCATGCAGCAGCAAATCTTTGCTGTCGCGGTCCATCGTTCAGGTCGGCATTGGCAGTGCAGAGATGGCATCTACGACATTGTCTGCAAGGCTTCTGTCCGGCGCGCCCATTCAGAGGCGCAGTTCGATCGATGCCTTTGGGCAGGCGCAGCCGACTATGCGCGAGTCAATGTCGGTTGCCGCGGACATATCATCGGGCGAGGCGAGTCCCGAGGGATGGCGTAACAGTCTCTCTTCACTGTCCAGAGCAAGCGGGCAGTCTCTTGATCCTCCCGTCCAAGAGGCCGCGGTTCCCGCGCTTCTGGTCTCGGCGCCCGCACAGCCTCTCCTCTCATCTGAAGTTGCAGTGGCACCGCGCAATGCCGGATGCTTGCGGCCAGCGAGCCTCCGTAAAGCATACAGCATTGAGGTGCTCCGAGCGGCGTTGCAAGGCGACTCGCCGGGATCGCGAATTGCGTCTACCTCGACCGCACAAGCGCAGGCACACGCGAGCACAAGCGGCCTCACACCATCAAGCAGCGCAGGCTCGATCACGCCTGCTGCAATGGCTGCGCCTGTGCTAACCATCACCACTCCCAGCGGCACGGACTCGCCGCAAACGCTGCCACTGGTCGGCGCGGAATTCGAGCCGCTCTCGTTGGAGCACTCGCGCAGCGTAATGTCGCATATCAGCGACGTTCTCGACGCTGCCGGAGGCGACACGCCGCTACCCGCTGCAGAGAGACGATTTTCTTCTTCTGCAACGCGGCAAAAGGCGCGCCGATCGCCCGCCGCGAGGCCTGCACAAGATGCAGCCAGCATCAGCTCACAAGGCTCTGTTCTCGCCGAGCAGACCAACACCGTCTTGGACAGCAGCAAGCGAACGCGACGCGCCCTTGTCGGCACGCCGGACTCCCCATTCAGCAAGTCTTCGCAACCGCACAAAGCTGTGAGGACGTCGTCAGTCGCGGAGCCAGTTAAGCTTGGGATGAAAGGACAAGCGACACCGCCGCGCCGCACGCGCCACAGCTCGAACGAGTCCCCCACATCTGTCGTCGCACAGTCCAGGTCGTTGCGGCGCACAGGCGTCTCCTTGGCTCTTCGCGACCACGTTGCACATGCTGCTCTCCCGGCACTGGCATCCCCCACTAAGCGACCACTCAAGCGCTGAGTGCCGAGAGCCTTTCTTGTTTCCCCTCAACCCAGCCAAGCATTCACCATCATTTTTCTTTGCATTTAGTCTTTCCCACTTGATCCAAGTAGTCAGCCATTCGTGAGACGTGCAATCGATCGAATCGACATATAAACCATCTAGATGCGGTGCAGTGTGGCACGATGAACGATTTTATGATACAATAGATACAATTTGGAGGAGACGCCATGCCTGCGACGACCGACCGACGGGCAGGTTCGTCAGCCCGGCTTGATGTACATCCGACCGCGACCTGGCCCCTGTTTGAGCTTGATCTTTGCGGCGGACGCATCCGCAGCCGGCAGCGGCGATGGCTCGCCCTTGCGGCGCGCCGAGATGGTGAACTTGAATAGTTTCTTGACGCTGATCTTTGTGTCGCGTTCTCGCTCGTCGCCGGACGATACGGTGAAGACGGCGCTTGATGACGACTTCGTTGCCATACTGACGGTTGGGTTGCGTGCATCGCTCTGCCAGTCAGACAAGGAGCCAAGGGAACGCGCGCAGTGAATGTTGTGCCGCTGCCGGGCAGCGGCAGCGGTAGAGGACATGGGCGACGCGACAGCGCTCGGCGGCGGCGGCGTGTCCGAGCGCAGGTGCAAAGAGGCAGTCGTGCCGACAAGGACGCCGCTGGCTGGACTAGCGGAGCGCGTCTCGACCGGTGGCAGTGACTTCGAGGCGATGGAGACGGGCGATGCGTGCTGTTGCGGGCCTTGTTGCAGCTGTGCGACGCCCGCAAGCTTGAAGAGCGATTCCAAGGCATCTGTCGGGGAGGAGAGGGACGAGGACGCCGTCGCCGTCAGCATGGGGGTGCACAGAGAAGAAACGAAGCGCCGGTGCACCCTCTACAACGCGCATGCTCACCGATCTTCCTTGCAAGGTCCTCGTACTTGGTTTCGTCACGTGACACCAGCGGCGTGTGCGCCGTCTCGTCCTGGCCGGTGTCCTGGGACGGGGGCGTCGTGATGTTGTGCGAGTCGGACAGGTCGAATGGTGTGCGGGGGGCGTCGGCGATCGGCATGCGCTGCAGTTGCGGCAGCTCTTGGCGGTACGGCTGCCATTTGCTGGCCTGCTTGCGCCGTAGGGCCATCTGAAGCTGCTCGACCTGTTCGCGGAGCGCGGCGATCTCGCATGCCGTCGCATCCGTAGGAGACGGAGAAGGAAAATGAGAAGAATAAGGGACAAGTGGAGCGGTGGCCTCTCTCCCTGCGCTTGCTGCGCCGCCGGAAGAAGAGGGCTGCCGCTCGCGGGGGGCGGGTTGAGACGGCTCCTGGGCAGGCTGGGCCGACACGGCATCAGCAAGAGCATCGGCAGGAGCTGCGATGCTGCGCACGCTGCCGACGGAAGTGGAGGATGCGAGCGCCTTGCTGCCCTTGCCTCCGCCTAAGCTTGTGCCTGCGCCACTACCGCGCTTCGGAAGTAGATGCGGCTGCGGCGATGGCGGTGGTGAGAAGGGAGGAATTTGAGCAAGCCAGCTGCTGGACGGTGTGGGTCCGAGACTGGAGGTGAAGGTGGAGGCGCTGTGCTCGCTTCCGCGCAGCAGCAACATGCGCTCAAAACCGTCCACTACGCCGCTGCTGCTCTTGCCCTCGCGAGGCGTGGTCGACCCGAGGAAGCCGCTGGCGCTGGTCATGGAGGAAGCAATGTAGCTCATCCGGCTCCGCTTGCGGGTGCCACTGGTACCGCCGGCGCCGCCTTCGATGACACTCGCGTCGTCCCGCGCAGCCTCCATCATCTCTTTCGGATGCAGGCAGACGCGCGAGGAGGTCGCCTGGCTGCGTTCGCGGTCGTCGGCCAGCTCTTCCTGCCAGTCGATACCGCTGTTGTCGTACGAAGGCGAAGTTCTCATCGCCGTCCCGCCGCGGCTGCGGCCGCTGGCGCCGTTGGTCAAGATCTTGCTGTGAGCACCCGTCGACTGCCCCGGGGCGGAGGCTGCCCTGTTATGGTGTGCGCCATTGGTGAGTTTCGACGATAGCAGGTGCGGCGACAGGGTGGTGGTCGACACAATGGGGGCGTTGTGCCATGCGCTGGCACCCGTGTCGGAGGCGACGTCCCAGTCACCAAATGGCTCATGGTAGTCGAGATCGAGGCTGCCAACAGTGGAGACGAAAAAGGGCTTCTTGGCGTACTTGTTGCGACTCATCCTTCCGGCGGCCTGCTGTTCTGGCTGTGCGACAAGAAGAGAAATCGGACGGCGGCTTGCTTGGGTGGGTGTGTAAGCGCGAACACATGTGGTCCGCTGCCTGATGGGGAGAAGCGCCCTGGCGATGCATGCAAGCAGGGCGGGCTCGAGCTGGTGGACGAAGCGAAAGCCTGCTTCTCTTTTTAAAGCTGTAGAGTGGTAGGTAGGTAGCTGCTGCCCAGCGAATGAGATTGGAGCGTAGTGAGCCACATTGGGCATGTGTCTCGACATGCATGCTCTTCCTCGCTACGTGGTTCTTAACCCAGGTGGCGAGCAGCGCAGCACTGGACAGACACAGAGGGTGATGGCCGCAACTTGCGCACATATCGCCGCCTGCCAGGAACCGTACAATGTCACCGCCAACCCTTAGTCTCACCCTCACTCTTAGTCTCGGCAGGCAGACAGGCGCACACACAGGCGCGTCCACGCGTCCTCGGGGGCGGAGCATGTCGGGTCCAATGAATGTGCGGCAGAGCGCTGAGATTGTGGTAACGACATTATTGTGCTTCTGCTGTGGGAGCGCAAGAAAGTTTTGTGCAGCGGTAGACAGTGCCTGCAACTCTGACTACTTGCCCTGTGCCCGGCCGAACGTGCGCACGTCTCTCCACACACTGTCCACGCGCCGCCGGCGGAGCAAGGAAAAGTGATCTGCGAAATTATTTACATACGTAACGATACCCTGTCTCACTTTTCATATTGTATTGCTTGTTACCTTTCGTGCTGGGTCTGGTCCCAGCGTCAGTGGTGCGAGTAGACGAATGTGGCGAGGTGCAAATGCCCTGTGCAAAGGCAGGCAGAGATAAGGGCGAGGTTCATGCAAGTCTGAGCACCATAGTCTACCATG